CTTTTTAGACGCTACAAAACTCGCCTGAGAAGCCAAGTGGCCCATCACATCAGTGCTTAACTCCTGTTTCCATAACATGAAGCAGCTAGGAGTATTTATACTCCCCCCAGTCCATCGTAGTGTTGCCCTCAGCATTAAATTCACTCAGTCTGATAAAAGGTGAAGAGAGGCACTGTTAGAGTAAAGGCTGATAGTTTTGAAAGAAACTGTTTGGGGCTGCATCGGTGTGGGTAACGAAATAATTTGGATATATCAACAAAGTTGATATATATTTGTGCACACACAACCCACAATTCCGCTATTCACTCCGACGAAGGGCTAACGCTCGAAACGTCAGCTTTTGTAATCGTTTCGGTGGCCAATTTACCATTTCAACTTTGTTGATATATCCAAATTATACTGTTAGAGTAAAGTGTCTTGCCCACGAGCACAACACAATGTCCTTAGCCAGGGTTCAAACCAGAGTCAAGCTCACTAATCATCACTCCCTAGTTCCAAATTAACAGAGAAGTTAACCACACTCATTTCTGAGTTTCTGAGTTGCAATGATGACCTCAATTTATTTGTCAAAAAATGATGGCAACATAGCAAGAAAAGTAAATTTAATATCACTCTTAGGGAAACAGATGAATAATTATGCATGGTAGTATGTATTTGTTTACAGTGTGTGTAAAAGAATTGGTGTATTTTGAGCCACCTTGAATCGGAGCATCCCAGTAGGAAAGAAGGAACTCCTTATGCACAGAAATTCCATGACATTTCAAAACTTCCATAGGGTTTTGTTCAACTGGATCCTTCCTTGCAGGTTTTACTGAGATTCATGTTGAGGAAGGGAACATATCAATTGGTTCAACTTCTGGTCAATTGGAAGCTTTTACAGGAAGAGGCAGCATAGATGTAAACTTATCTCAACATGAGGATGTAAAGCTAAACACAAAGGAAGGTAAATCATGTGGAAGCCAAATCAATGTGTATTTTTGAGTAGTACTAAACAAATAAGTTGGTCGCTCTGAATGAACGTGTAATGATACATGGAAATAAAACCCTTCAAGTTATGACATGAATTGAAAATCTCATTTTTTAAAAGATTGAACATAAGAGGATGATACTGAACAATTGACAGAGCATGAATTCGTTTGCAATTTTCAACACTCATGCAGGTCATACAAACTGTGTTTTTCTACACATACCTACATGAATACTAAGCAAATATCTCCTTGGACACTCTCTGTTTCCTGAAATTGTCTTAACTCTGTTAAGAGAGTAATAAACTGTGAACATAGAGAGACATAGTGTATTTAATGACAAACTTAGAAAATCTTCCATAACTTTTTGTACATTGTAGGACCAATTAAATTTGACCAAACATAATCTATAATTTCAGGGGAAGTCTTAGCACTAAATGTGATTGCCTGGTGTTAACGTCAGCTGTACACTTACAACTGATCACAGTGTACTAAAAGCTGACGCTTCCGTCAGATTGTGTTTGAACTGTTGTTTGTGTGAGTGGAATAACACTACTATTTGCCCACACTTTGAATCATTGACAAGATCCCCCCCTCCCCCTTTATTAAAAGTCACTTGTTTGTGGCTAAGATATCATGTGAATCACAATATAACGATATTTTGGGGGGAAGGGAGCGAATAGGTTAACTTAGGAATGACTGTCAACGATTTTGTCGCCGAATTTAGTTTTTGTTCTTAAATACAGGTGACATTACCATCAAGTGTCTGCAGGAATCCTTTTCTTCAGAGTTCTTGGTGAAGTCAAATCATATTCACGTCGATTCAAACATTAATGTCGTCATTGACGAAGAACGTGCAGAGGGGAACCAAACCGTCATGGCGGGAAAACTTAACAAACAAGACAAGGGGGAGGAACAGATAAAAATGATCAATGCGGAAGCAAAACTCGGTACTGTGAAGTTTGAGAAGGAAGACTGGTTTACTTCTCTCAAATTGAGTTGATATCATTGTGTAATAAACTGGGAATTTCCAACGATGAATTAAATGAAACGATAGGGATTTTAATTTTTGTTGGAGCTGATTTGACTCGTTTTATTTGTCTTACAACTGTTAGTCAACGAGGAGCCCCTCCTTTTCGGCGAAGTCCGTGACGACTCAGAAAAATCAGCAAAAAAAGAATTTATGGTCATCTCCACTCTGTGCAAATCTTAAAGGTGTGCGTTATGCTGAGTCGTCCGTTGTACAAGAGTAACACTTCTTGTGTGGATAATCAGACGTGCGTGATGTCATAACCATATTTTCTTGGCTATGGTGCTGCCCTGTCAGCGCCTCCCCGCGGTATGAGCTTCGAGAAAGTGTGATCCAGTGAAAGGCTGGAACAAATAAGTAAGCTTACGCTTATTGTCACGGATCACACGTGCAGTGTTACATTTCGTCGGTTTACAGCCGAACGTCGGTAATTCCAGTGGGTCTTACTTCTGGTTGTCGAGGGTTACAATGAACATGACTATATTTTAAAACTTTCAAGCTACGCCGTAGAAGAACAAACTATCGCTCTGAACAACAAAAAAGATAATTGGTGTTCATGAATATACGTTTTTCAATAGCATAGGCAGAGGAACTTCAATGCACATTATTTACAGCCCGAAAGCTTTGAAACGGAAAAGTTTGATTTCGGAAGGGAATGAAAATATTCTGGGGAATATTGGAAGCCTCATTTGCGAGTAAACGTCCTCGGTGAAGAAACAAAGAAGATAATCATTACTGTTACTAATGGCTCTCCTTTATCTGTGCCCCAGATCATACTCTACATGTTTTTCAAAACGGCAGTACCTCGAATTTGATTACACTTTAGTCAAATATGTTAGAAAGGGATATCTCAAGTCCTTCCACAGTAATGAATTAATTTCACTTTCTATTATGAGCTTTAAAAAAAAATTTCAAAGGGGAAATGTTTGTTAATTGCCCTCTGTATTTGCACTATTAAACCTAGCTATATATGCCAATAAAATGAACGAATAGTCCAATATATATTCCAATCTCTTTTTAGACGCTACAAAACTCGCCTGAGAAAACGATTTATGTAAGGGGTTCTCAAAGTATCGAGAAAACCGATGTAATAAAATTGTAAATTAAACGAACTCTATTCTATTCAACGAAAAATTGCGCTTCTTACAATGAGAGGAGGGAGTATTCTCCCTATTTATAGATGGTGACCTACTATCAAAGGAGAATTTTTCCATACTATGAAGAACGCAGAACTATCCTACATCGAGTCGAATAAAAAGTGCACGAAGGCGGAAAAGGAAACTGATACCCATGGATACTGTAATGCAAATATAATTGTGATTCTGTCGTCGACGAAAGCCAACCTCAATGTGCCGCCATTACATTTTGCATATGCACAAGACGAGCAAAGAACCCTTCCTTATTTTGTAGCAACACGTCAGGTCTGTCAAACTCCACCACTCGTCCCTCATCCATAACCACCATTCTATCATAATCCGTAATGGTATTCAAGCGATGGGCGATGGTTATTACTGTGGAGTCTTTAAACCTGTTGCGTATAACGTCTTGAATGAGTCTGTCTGTCTTGAAGTCAACATTAGCAGTGGCTTCATCCAGAATGATGATCTTACTTTTCTGTAACAGCGCACGCGCTAAACACACCAATTGGCGCTCGCCGACACTGAAGTTGTTCCCAGACTCTTTCGACTTGTACTCCAGCTGTGCAGGCAATTGCTGTACCAGGCTTTTTAACTGAACATCTTCCAAAGCTCTCCACAGGTCATGATCTTGGTATAAAGAGAAAGGATCTAAGTTCTTTCTGAGGCTGCCGCTAAAGAGGACAGGATCTTGAGTAATAACGGCCATAGATCTGCGAGCTGCCTGTAGATTGAGATGCGTGATATCTATGCCATCGATGATAACCTGTTTAAATAAAATGAGGAATTCTACTAAAATGATGTCGAATAAAAAAATTATTTTTAGGTACAAATCAAGTTGTCCTTTGAGAAAAAGTCCATTATTTGATCTTTTCTTATCATCGTAATTATCACTTTTTCGCTATCACTATCATTTATGTCGTTAAAACTCATTACCAACATATTTAACA